GCCTCTCTGTCCTCCTACATCTCTCTCAAGACCATCCTCCCCAATTCTAGTGTTCTTTACCAAGCCCCCCCACTTTTCCCCTCCCCCAAATCACCTGATGCTGTTGCCTCTAAATCCCCCATTCTGTCTCTAAAGATCCATCCCCCAGTCCACTCCACTGCCACCTCTCCTTTCTGCCTTCCCTTTTCCTTTGCCTCAAATTCTTCAGCTTTTCTTTCCTCTCTCCCAAGGCACTTCCCTCCCTCTCTTCTCTTCACTTCCTTCTATTGCACACATTCCCGCAGTACTTGCCCTTCCTCCCTTCAAAATCCCTCCACTCGCAAAACTCTCACTCCTCTTCTCCCGCCCCTTGCACCCTCAAATTCTTCTACTCTCAGTAACACCTGTCCTCAAACTCTCTGGTCTCTTGTCATCCATGACCACTCCCTGAAGACTGCCTCTAAAGAGCCAATGGGAGAAAAAGAGGGAATGGCTGCTCCTCTATGCTTGAGTCAGGAATTGCTCATCCTTTTGCTTCCACAGAACAGGAAGGGGCCCATGCACGAAAGGAGTCACAGCTGCGACTTCCTGTCCAGCAAAGGGACAGGGTAACCCATCCTGGCAGGGGGGACTAGTCACAGCTGTAGATTGAGCCTAACTAAACAGCAGTGTGAGGGTGGCAAGAAAAAGCAAGAGTGCACGCTGAGAACAAAATATATTCCCCCCCCCCAACTTTGCTTTCTCTTTCCTTCCCTCCACAGCCAGCCAAACACTGGGAGAGGGAAGAAGACAGCATCACACATACCCCCCTCCCCACCCTTGCATATGGAAATCAGGGGAGTTGTCCCTTATGACAACACCCAAGGAGATGAGCCTTGGAATGGTCAAAGACACATCCCCATCATCAGCTGGTGTTCTAATCTGAAGCTTCAGATTTCACATCTAAAGGTAATTCAGATACTTCAATGATCCCTGCATGTGATGGATACTTGTTACCCAATGGATACCTGTTGCCTAATAGCAGAGCAGAAATAGCTTACCAGCACCCAAACTGGTAGAAAAACTTCCAAAGTAAATGGAGAATAGCAGAGATGTCATTTGCTATGCAATATAAGGAATAGTGGCTTTCCCACCTAAGGATATTGAGGAGTGGGTATTTGGCTAATCGTGTAGTCGATACAATATGTGCAATTTGTATTGACTACACCATTAGTCGATAAGGGGAGGCGCTTTGCAGAGCTGCAGTGGGGGTAGCTCCTGGAGCCGTCACAAGGGGGGACTGAGCAGTCCCAGCTCTCACCAGCTCCAGGACCACTGCAGATCTGCATTTTAAATATGTTGTAAGAGCCAGGTGGCTCTTACTACATTTAAAATGCAGAGCACAGCATAGGTGGCTCCCAGAGCCGTCGCAAGCCAGGACTGAGCTGTCCCGGTATATTCTGGCTTCAGGACAACTGCAGCTCTGCCTCCTCTATTCCCCTTCCCCACCCCACACACTGCTGAGACGGTGCTGGGGGAACCAGCTTTTAAGCTGGCTCCTGCTTCCCCCACCTCTGATACTACCCCAAATATTCATAGGTATAGACCAGCAACTGGCAATCTAGGCTAGTGAGTGGACCACGAGTGGCCTTCCGTCTCCATGGGCTGCAAGATTATCATAACCAAGAGAGTCTCCCAAATAGGATAGTTTTGCTAACTGCTTTTGTGTACCTAGAATTTACGAGGGGGAGCGTTGGTGCCAATTAAATAGCAGTGCTTTGATTGGATGCAGAGGAAGCGCACAGCTCTCACATTGTGTTGTATATACTCGGCACGCACCTCACTTCACATACTTTTGCTTTACTTATGTATCATTTTAGTATTACTGATAGTGAAACTTTTTCCTATGTGGATGGAAACCAGAGCAACACATGGCCAACAGTCAACAAAATATCTAATGGGCCACACAAAACCCTGATGGAATGCATGCAGCCGCAGGTTGCCCACTACTATTCTATTTGTGTCATTATTCCTTCCACTTTGTGCCCCCATCCCAATTTTGCAGGATATAATTTAATCACACTGTGTTCTGCATGCTGACTCAACTTTGCCCTCTGCCCCAAATTTTTCTTAAATGACACCTATGGCGGAAATGACTCTGACATGACCAATGGGCACTGAGTAGCATGTATCCATGTGGGACACCAGTTGGTTTGTTTGTGTAGCTATGAGGACTAGACAGCACAGTGGCTTAATACATAGAGGAGTCCAAGTCTTGCTGTCTTCTAGAATAACGTGTCTTTCATGTTAGTCAAAGAATAATAGGTTATGATGACAAACAAGAGCGCATATCTTGTCAAAATAAAAGAAATGTATACATTTTGCTCACTTGTTATGAGCCTAACTGCAGAAGAGCAAAACTAGGAAAAATTAATGGCAGGGACTTAAAATAATCAGCATTTTCACAATAATTATTTAATAGCTGCTGTGTGACTTACCTCTCTGTGATTAGGAGTTGCTTATCAAAGTGCTGACCAAGTAATACTCTGATAAATGTAAAAAGAAGGTGAGAGTAGGAAGGGGGAAGATGACATGGAAGGATTTGAGTGCTCAGCAATGGGAAAGGTTTTTAAAAAAATATTAATTCAAATTTCCTGGTTGCTCAGGGCTGGACTAGGGATGCTAAATTGTGGATAATTGACTTATCGAATAGTTGATGCATTTTGCATTGACTCTTCGACTAGTTGATTGGGCATCTCCGCCTCTGAAATGTAGAATCAGTATTTGAGTGCTGTTGCTAAACTTTAAAGGTGAAAGCGCCATATGAGTCTGGGATCAGCTGGGGACTCCCCGCTGAACCAAGGCTCCGAGCGGCACTGGCGCTTTGAAATGCTGCCATGGGACACCGGAGTCAGGCTCCTGGCAGCATTTCAAAGCTGCAGTACTGCCTGGAGCCCAGGTGCTGCCACTTTGAAATGCTGGGAGGAGCCTGACGCTGGGCTCCTGTGGCAGCATTTCAAAGCAGCAGCACTGTGTGGAGCCCGGGGTCTAGCCCCACATTCCACACAGCACTGCAGCTTTGAAATACCCCCTCCCTGCCTCTTTCTGATAGAGACCGCAAAGCGGGGAGAGAAACTAGTTGACAAGCTTGTTAACTATCCAATAAGCAAATGCTTATCAGATAGTCAACTAGGCTGGACAGAAATACCCAGTAGAACTATACTAGCAAATGTAGACAGAATTTACATAAGCTAATGAGGCATGTACATCCTAGTGGCAAACAGTATAAAAGTAGGCTATTTTCAGACACTAACAGAAAATGGTGATAACAGTAGCTTCTGGCACAGGGACAGATGAAAAGGGAAAATACAAAGAAAATAAGAGTGTTCTAAACTGACATCTAATTACAGAAATAACCCCCACTCAAAGTTGAGCTGCTAAGTTCTCAAGAATCCTCTCTGACAAGAACGAAAAAGACTGTGGACTCTGTGGCAAAGTTCTGGCCGTACCCTGTGGGTCTCATGCTACTAGTGGATAATATTAGCCTCAGAGACTCACTGTGGTCCTAAACATAACCCCTTTCTCTTTACAGGAAGCAGGGTCCACAGCTTAGTGAGCCATACTCATCACAGGCTAGTCCAGGGTTTTGGGGTGAAAACTCCTTGATAGTCTTGGTCTCCCTTCTTGGGACAGGCTCCGTGTTGGCAGGGGGGCAGGTTTGGGGGGAACCTGGGTTCCTCCACTATTCCAGGTTCTGGCCCAGAGGACCCTGAAATAGCAGCAGCAGTCAAAATTATTTTCCTTCTGACTTGGCAGCTTTTTCCCTGGGCCTCTTCCCCAAGCAACCTCTCCAAAGTATCTCCTTCTGGTACCTATTAACCAGCTCTCAACTCACACAGATTTCCTCTTGTTCCTCCCTTTCTCCTTCCTTTCCATCACCCTTTGTTTCCCCCCCTGCTTGCCTGAGGGAGCACTTTTAAAGGGGCACCAGAGGTCTTAACTGGCTGCAAGTATTGAGTGACTTGGGGGAGGGAGCAATCTAGTTCATGAGCCCAGGTGTTTTTCTGCCTTCATTTTATTGCAGCAGGCTAGAGTAGTTCACTCTGGAATGAGAAAAACACTTATCCAGTGTCCTGTATATCGGGCTTCCACTGAAGTGTGGCAGGCTGCTGCTGGCTTAGGGCTGTCACAGCTCACATTGTAAATGGCATAAATGTTGGGTGACAGAACCAAATGTGTGTGGCATTGTTGTGAGTGTGTTTAGCCATCACAGCCATGAAAAATTAAGCATCTCTGCATAATGTGCACTTGTTCCTGGGATAGATTTGTTTCTTCAGACTATAAATCTCCCCTTTGGTCTACTCACAGCCAGGTGGGCTACCTATTGTTCACATTACAGATAGGAAATCTGCCCTGACATAGAATTCCTGCATAATCTGGTTGCTCTGGGTACACAGTGGCTTGCGCATTCCAAGGAGTTGGGTAGAGATACAATGTAGTAGATGGCCACCCGAAGAGCAGCAGTTTCAGAAACTACTCCAAATATTTAAAAGTTAACCCTCTGAATGCCCAAAACCCACTAAACCCCATGAGCACTAAAATAGCTGTTGTGCTAGGCTCAGTTTTTCAAAATGTTTCCCTTTAAATGACTTACCAAGATCACACAGTAAGTCTGTAGCAGAGTCAACTTCTAAATCCCAGACCATCCGAATCCTGTCTAATGCTATAGCCACAAGTCCACCATTCAGCTCTATAGGAGTTTTATCTTCAGAAATACTGCAGGATTCATTTACTCTACTTAAAATATGCACCTATTTTTAAAATTTATAAGCACATATAAACTGAGGTAACTAATTGCAGTTTTCTCATTTTAACTAGCTTTTAAGAGCAGAACATGCAATCCCTTCTTAAATGCCAACCACCCTCAACTCTCAAACTTCAATAGGAAGTGTCCAGGATCATATTCATAGAGAAAGGACAATAGACTAGAATGTGAACAATACTGTAGAAAAATCAATTACTATACAAAAAGAACATGAGACAATTTTAAAACAACCAAATCTTTTAATTAGAAAGCAACAAACATGCAAATAGCAGGTATAGAAATTTATTTGAACCAATGTTTTTGCTCTAATGAAAGTTCTTTTTAAACATTGATCCAAGCTCCCATGTTTGCAGGTTAAGGAAAATATTGCACTTTGCATCTTCTAGCACCCCTCAGACATGGCAAAACGTTTTAAAAACATTTCTGCTTATTTTTACTTGCACACACTCCCAAAGTCATGCACACAGTCATTCAGAAACAAAATGTTAGGTTATCCAAAAGCAAAACCTTAAAATTGCACTAAAGCTCTGTAAGGAAAAATATAATTAATGTCTTATATAAATTCCGTAATGTCTAGGTGCTCGCATAGAAGAGCCAGTTACTCTTCATCTTCATTTTCATTCTCCTGACCAGACCCTTCTGATCTGTCACCCTCCAATCGGTCTGCAAGACACAATGATGATTTAATAAGGACACAACTTTAAAAGTAACTTTTCAGCTAACTTTTAGGCTATAGTGCCATAACTGGCTATTACGCAAAGCACACTGCCTAGGTATCATGCTGTTGGAACCATCAGAAGTGCATAAGGTAGATTGACAGCACATACTAAATGGAAAAGTTGCAACAACACAAGAGAACAGGAACAGAAAAAGCAAAGGACTAGCAACTGTGAACACCATTGTGATGAACTAGGCAGCATTTCACTCATGGTCAGCCCAGAAGAGATGGGTTTTGCCACAGATTTAAAAAACAGATGGGAAATCAATGAAGTGAGCAACCTGTTTAAGAGAACTGGAACTGAAAGTGTATTTTAAAAAGCAGTTGTAACCAGAAACATTCATTAGTCAGAAAACTAGGGAAAATGCTCTCAGCCACTGTATGCATCAGAAAAGATATCCGAGTAATAGTTTAGAGAAAGAGTAAAATTAAATGGAGAAGCATGAGTGAGGGGGCTTGACTGGCTCAGTATATGCCACTTATTCAGTGTTCCTAGTCAATCACTTCTACAGTAAAACAGTATTTGTGCCAGCAATATCATTGCTAAAGCATGTAGCAGTTCTTTCCTTGGAACAAAATACACCAAGGAGCAAATTAAAAATGGACGAATAAATAATTAGCATCTAAAACACATATAGACACTCTTAAAAAGAAGAGAAACAAGCAGCATTTGAGGATGGTATGTAAATCTCACTACAAAAATTCAGTTTAAGTGACAATGCTACACCATTATTATGAATAGCTTAAATAGCTTGCACAGAAGCTACTGTGAAATTCTCCTACCTGCTCTTATGTGATTCAGCGATGCCAGCATTCGTAACATGAAAGAAGCAGGAACAGTAATTGTGTTTCTGGTCTCTTCCAGCATTAATTCATTACGAGTTATAACCTGTAGGGACAAAAAAAATTACTGATCAAAGCATCACTAACTACAGATTAACCCTGATGCAAAATAATTTGTATTTAATACAGTCGACTTCCAATAATCCGGCACCTTTGGGTCCTAGGTGGTGCTGGATTATCGGATATGCCGGAGTATCAGGAGGTACTCCGGCGGGAAGCTATTTCGGGTCTGCTGGGACTGGCACTGCGTCCAGGGGGTGGGCAGGGAATGGCGCAGCGAGGGGCAAACCCTCCACCGTTTTGCAGTAAGGCTCTGCTCCACCGCTTCCTCAAGTTCGCCGCTCGTCAGTTTCAGCAGTGGCAGTGACAGACTTGGGGAAGCGGCGGAACAGAGCTGCTGGGGTACTACTGGATTGGTCCCGCAGCGCCTACCCTCACCCCCCTGCTCAGCGATAACTACTGCAGTCTGGGGGGTGGGGAGCCTGCTCCCTTCCCAGAAACTCTTGGCGGCGGCATGGGGCTGAGTGTAGCCGGAACAGGGCAAATTCGGGGACTTAGCTCTCGCCCCCTCTCCTCTGCTGCCATTTGCAGGCTGGTGGCTGGGTTTCCCCAGCTGGCCTGTCACCGGTGGCTGCGCAGGACTTCCCCCACCTTCCTGCAAAACAGCAGAGGGTTCGCCTCTCGCCGTGCCGTTCCCCGCCCACCCCTCAA